GCTCCTCCTGCTCCTCCTCCTGCCTGTCTTCTAGCTGCTGATACGCCAGCAGCCGCTGCCCGCCCACACATGCACCCAGAGGCAGCCCACATGCAGCGGTCATGCTGCTCTGCCAAGCACTGCTAGTGGCATCACCGCCATCTTCCACTGGAGCAGCAGCAACTGCAGCAGCACCTATCTCAGCAGAAGCACCCCCCGCAGCAGCAGCAGAAGCAGGAGCAGCAGCAGCAGCAGCGCGTCCTGCCACTCTTGGTGCGAGAGAGCAGCCTGGCAGGGCGGAAGGAGACCATGGTGCTGCTGCTGCTGGTCGTCGTCGCGGTGGTTATCATGGACAAGGCAGCTCCAGACCCAGGGTTACATGAACCAGCTGCCCCACCATCTCCCTGCCTGGCACTCACCTTAACTGCCTGCCGCTCTCCTTTCCCCTCTTGCACTGCACCACCACTAGCACCCTCACCCTCACCCTCACCCTCACCCTCACCCTCACCCTCACCCTCACCGCCCTCTTTTCCACCATTACCATCACGATGACCCCCACAACCACTCCCACTGCTGCTCGAACCAGACAAGAACCACGTGTGTAGCCTGGACAGTCCCTTCTTGCTTGTCCTGCCACTTTGTTCTTTCGTCCACCCAAGGTTTCCCCGCCCAGTGGCAGTATGTGTGTGTGTGCCGCGTGATGCAGTGAGGCTGTTGGCTGTTGTGGAGGCATCTCCGAAAGAGGACTGTGCTGCCAGTGCCACGTGGCTATGCCGCTCCTGCTGCTCCTGCTGCTGCTGCTGCTGCTGCTGCTCCTCCTCCTCCTGCTGCTGCTGCTGCTGCTGCTGGGCAGTCCCTCGCTTGGACTGGGATCGGGACGCGTCTCTCCGAAGGTCCTCGTGAATGTCGGCCGTGCGGATGGCGATGAAGATGTGTCCACGTTCGGTGTACTTGCATGCATTGGAGAGCAGGTTTATTAGCACCTGGTGAGCAAAGGGGTAGGAGGGGTGGAGGAGGGGAGTAGGATGGCGATGCATGAAGATGTGTCCACGTTCGGTGTACTTGCATGCATTGGAGAGCAGGTTTATTAGCACCTGGTGAGCAAAGGGGTAAGAGGGGTGGAGGAGGGGAGTAGGATGGCGATGCATGAAGATGTGTTCACGTTCGGTGTACTTGCACGCGTTGGACAGCAGAGGTGGTTGATCAGCACCTGCAAGTGCGGGTACGAGCGGGTCGATGATGCAAGCCGCTACCTGCAGGTGCGGCTTGCAGGCGCCCTAAGGGAGGCATGCCACTGACCTGCAGCGAGTTTAGTCACTCCCGCACTTCACACCACAGGCTGCCATGCCATGCCATGCCATGCCATGCCATGCCATGCCATGCCATGCCATGCCACTGACCTGGTTGCACAACTCACCTGGCAGAAGCGCAGGGAGTCGCCGAGCACAGATGCCGGCACGAGCGGGTCGATGTAAGCCGCCACCTGCAGGTGTGGCTTGTCTCGGAAGCGCTCGATGAACGCTGTGAGTACCGTGTCCACCTCGCCCCTCACGGGAGGCCAGATCTTAAAACGTTGCAGAGAGCCCCCAGTTGCTGATTTCACAGCTCACCTGGCGGAAGCGCAGAGAATCACCGAGCACGGACACAGGAACGAGGGGGTCCACGTATGCCGCCACCTGCAGGTGTGGCTTGTCTCGGAAGCGCTCGATGAACATGGTGAGTACCGTGTCCACCTCGCCCCTCACGTCCATGGGCACGTGTTCCAGCTGCATCTTCTGCGCCTGGTGGGGCGGGAAGGAATGGGGTGGGAAGGAATGGGGTGGGAAGGAGTAGGGGTGGGAGTGGGTGGGGTGGTGGGCCGGGGTAAGGAAAAGCGCTCGATGAACATGGTGAGTACCGTGTCCACCTCGCCCCTCACGTCCATGGGCACGTGTTCCAGCTGCATCTTCTGCGCCTGGTGGGGTGGGAAGGAATGGGGTGGGAAGGAATGGGGTGGGAAGGAGTAGGGGTGGGAGTGGGTGGGGTGGTGGGCCGGGGTAAGGAAAAGCGCTCGATGAACATGGTGAGTACCGTGTCCACCTCTCCCCGCACGTCCATGGGCACGTGCTCTAATTGCATCTTCTGCGCCTGGTGGGTGGGGAAGACGGGCAGCGGGAAATGGGGGAGGGGATGGCATGTCCATGACGATCTGTCCTGCAGCGTAGTTTTGAGTCGACTCAAAAATAGGTTGTGCGCCTGGTGGGTGGGGGAGGGGATGTCATGTCAATGACGATGTGTCCTGCAGCGTATTTTTGAGTCGGCTCAAAAATAGGTTGTGCGCCTGGTGGGTGGGGGAGGGGATGTCATGTCCATGACGATCTGTCCTGCAGCGTCCGTGAGTCGGCCTGCCCGCACCGCAGGTGCGTGTGTGCACACGCACACTGTTGAGGCGCCGCAAAAGTCGCAGGTGCATGCATGCATGCACACGCACACTGTCAGCAGCGTCCGTGAGGTTTTCTTTTTTAAGGCGCCTCAAAAATGCATGCATGCACACGCACACTGTCAGCAGCGTCCGTGAGTGGCTTACCTCAATCTTGGAGAGGTCGAGGATGTCAGTGATCAGTTCCAGCAGCGCCCGCCTGCTGCTGTGCATCCATACTGTGCCCACTCCTACCTCACCTCTCTCCACCTCTAGAAATCATATTTCCACCGTCACCAACTCACCTCGATCTTGGAGAGGTCGAGGATGTCAGTGATCAGTTCCAGCAGCGCGCGCCCGCTGGTGCGAGCCGTGTCCACGTAGTCCAGCTGGGTCACCGTGAGGGGCGTCTCCAGCAGCAGGTTCAGCATGCCTGGGGGGGTGCGGGGGCCAGGAGGCAAGCATGAGCACATGGGGAGCATGGGGGCAGCAGCACCAGCACCAGCACCTCAAGCAGCGCCCGCCCACTGGCGCGAGCTGTCTCCACGTAGTCCAGCTGGGTCACCGTAAGAGGCGTCTCCAGCAGCAGGTTTAGCATGCCTGAACAATATGGATGTGGTGCAATATGGATGTGGTGCAATATGGATGTGGTGCAATATGGATGTGGTGCAATATGGATGTGGTGCAATATGGATGTGGTGCAATATGGATGTGGTGCAATATGGATGTGGTGCAATATGGATGTGGTGCAATATGGATGTGGTGCAATATGGATGTGGTGCAATATGGATGTGGTGCAATATGGATGTGCTGCAATATGGATGTGCTGCAATATGGATGTGGTGCAATATGGATGTGCTGCAATATGGATGTGCTGCAATATGGATGTGGTGCAATATGGATGTGGTGCAATATGGATGTGGTGCAATATGGATGTGGTGCAATATGGATGTGGTGCAATATGGATGTGGTGCAATATGGATGTGGTGCAATATGGATGTGGTGCAATATGGATGTGGTGCAATATGGATGTGGTGCAATATGGATGTGGTGCAATATGGATGTGGTGCAATATGGATGTGGTGCAATATGGATGTGGTGCAATATGGATGTGGTGCAATATGGATGTGGTGCAATATGGATGTGGTGCAATATGGATGTGGTGCAATATGGATGTGGTGCAATATGGATGTGGTGCAATATGGATGTGGTGCAATATGGATGTGGTGCAATATGGATGTGGTGCAATATGGATGTGGTGCAATATGGATGTGGTGCAATATGGATGTGCTGCAATATGGATGTGCTGCAATATGGATGTGCTGCAATATGGATGTGGTGCAATATGGATGTGCTGCAATATGGATGTGCTGCAATATGGATGTGCTGCAATATGGATGTGCTGCAATATGGATGTGGTGCAATATGGATGTGGTGCAATATGGATGTGGTGCAATATGGATGTGGTGCAATATGGATGTGGTGCAATATGGATGTGGTGCAATATGGATGTGGTGCAATATGGATGTGGTGCAATATGGATGTGGTGCAATATGGATGTGGTGCAATATGGATGTGGTGCAATATGGATGTGGTGCAATATGGATGTGGTGCAATATGGATGTGGTGCAATATGGATGTGGTGCAATATGGATGTGGTGCAATATGGATGTGGTGCAATATGGATGTGGTGCAATATGGATGTGGTGCAATATGGATGTGGTGCAATATGGATGTGGTGCAATATGGATGTGGTGCAATATGGATGTGGTGCAATATGGATGTGGTGCAATATGGATGTGGTGCAATATGGATGTGGTGCAATATGGATGTGGTGCAATATGGATGTGGTGCAATATGGATGTGGTGCAATATGGATGTGGTGCAATATGGATGTGGTGCAATATGGATGTGGTGCAATATGGATGTGGTGCAATATGGATGTGGTGCAATATGGATGTGGTGCAATATGGATGTGGTGCAATATGGATGTGGTGCAATATGGATGTGGTGCAATATGGATGTGGTGCAATATGGATGTGGTGCAATATGGATGTGGTGCAATATGGATGTGGTGCAATATGGATGTGCTGCAATATGGATGTGCTGCAATATGGATGTGCTGCAATACGGATGTGCTGCAATATGGATGTGCTGCAATATGGATGTGCTGCAATATGGATGTGCTGCAATATGGATGTGCTGCAATATGGATGTGCTGCAATATGGATGTGCTGCAATATGGATGTGCTGCAATATGGATGTGCTGCAATATGGATGTGCTGCAATATGGATGTGCTGCAATATGGATGTGCTGCAATATGGATGTGCTGCAATATGGATGTGCTGCAATATGGATGTGCTGCAATATGGATGTGCTGCAATATGGATGTGCTGCAATATGGATGTGCTGCAATATGGATGTGCTGCAATATGGATGTGCTGCAATATGGATGTGCTGCAATATGGATGTGCTGCAATATGGATGTGCTGCAATATGGATGTGCTGCAATATGGATGTGCTGCAATATGGGTGGAGATTGAGGGGTAGGGGGGGCGAACATGTGTGCACGGGTGTGAGGGTATGTGGCTCGTGCGAGCCGTCTCCACATAGTCCAGCTGGGTCACATAGTTCAACAGCAGGTTCAGCATGCCTGGGACGGGATGGCAGAGGCCGGGAGGGTTGTGGAGGGTGGTGCATGTAAGCACCAACACATGTGTGCGCCCGAACGGCCGTGCACCATACAACCCCGACAGCCCCAGCAGCTGCAGCAGCACCACCATACCCACCACCACCATAACCACCACTACCAACACCACCAGCACCAGCACCACACAGAACCCACCTATGACGCCATTCAGTGGTGTGCGGAGCTCGTGGCTCATGGTAGTGAGAAACAGCCCCTTGGCTTTACTCGCCCGCTCTGCAACCCTCTTGGCCGCTTTCATGCGGTTCTTCACCGCTTCCAACCGCTGGTAATCCCTCTCCAGCTGCTGCACGCGCTCACAGGCTGCCCAGTACACGTACGCGGCGAGACCCATCACCACTATAACGAGGATGGCCCACCCTGCACTTGCCGCCGGGAATACATAGATTTTGTCGTACCTACAGAGGAGGGGGTGTTGAGAGGGGTTGAGGGCGGTTGAGGGGGGATTGAGACCCATAACCACTATAACGAGGATAGCCCACCCTGCACTCGCTGCAGGGAACACATACGTTGTGTAGTACCTGGAGAGAGGGGGGGTTGAGAGGGGGTTGATGGGGGGTTGAGGGGGGGATGAGGGGGGGATTAGGGCGGTGTGAGGGCGGTGAAAAAGGGTTGAGACCCATCACCACTATAACGAGGATATCCCACCCTGTACTCGCTGCCGGGAACACATATGTTGTGTAGTACCTGTGGAGGGAGGGTGTTGAGGGGGGTTTGAGTAGGTAGGGGTGGGTGAGCGGGGTGAAAGAAAGAGTTAAGAAAATGGGAGGGTGAATGCGTCCCATCAAATGGGGAACAGATGAAGAAGTATAAATTTGGAGCCCCTTTTTTTGTTATTTTTACCCACCTGCACCGCATCTCACTCACCTGCACCGCATCTCGTACTCGCGGTACTTGTCCCCCAGGTTCACCACAGTCACATGCCCGTACGAGTCCTCCTGTCCGGGCGGCAACTCTTGTCCTTTAGGCTCATAAACCACCTCCCCCGCCCGCTTCCCCTTCTCCCCGGTGCTCCCAGTGACGTCGTAAATGCGTGCAAACATGGGCAGGGCCAGGCCGTGGTAATCCTGTGGTGGGGGTGGGCGCGGTTTGGGAAGCAGGTTCAACGTGTAAATGGCATCAAACTTGCGTGCAAACATAGGCAGCGCCAGGCCGTGGTAATCCTGGGTTGGGCGAAGCAAGAGGAGCGTTATGAAGTGTGAGGAGAGTTGAACAGTGTGAAGAGATTTGAACAGACAATCAGGCAAGCAGACAATCAGGCAAGCAGGGGGAAAAAGACACAGCTGGTGTGGGGGAGACAGCAGACCCCTCTCCACCCATCCCCCTCCCCCCACACCACACTGCCCTCACCTGCAGCATCACATCCCACATGGGTTCAAAGTCCATGATCGCAGATTCGCCCTCATGTAGCCCAGGCACGCCCCTGCACTGCAGTCTGCACCCCCCATTTCCCACCTTCTAAGCACTCCCCAACCACCCAGCACCCCCCAGCACCCCTCCCCACCGCTCACCGCGAGCATCGCGTCCCACATGGGTTCAAAGTCCATGACCGCCGTCATGTAGCCGAGGCACGCCGCCCGGTACTCGCTAGAAGGCAAACCCTCGGGGAGCGGGTCGGGCGTGCGGTAAACGGGGAAGACTATAAAGAGGCCGCGCGAGATGGGGCGGTTGGTGGTGGAGAGAGAGAGGTTGAGGCGGAAAGGGGGGGTGAGCGCCCCCACCACCCCGTTGTCCCGCGCTCGTGTCACCGCCTCTATTGTTGCTGGCCGGTCGGCTGGGGGGAGGGGAAAAGAGTGGGGAGCAGAGGGGAGGAGAGGAGAGGACGGGATGAGCGCCCCCATCACCCCGTGGTCCCGCGCTCGCGTCACCGCCTCTATTGTTGCCGGCCGGTCGGCTGGGGGGAGGGGGAAGGTTTGGAGGGGGGGTGGGGAAGGGGGGAGGGGAGTGTGGTGAGGAGGAATTTGGAAAGGGGAGGAGCAGGAGGAGTGGAGGGAGGACATGGAGGGAGGGAGGACATGGAGGGAGGGAGGACATGGAGGGAGGGAGGACATGGAGGGAGGGAGGACATGGAGGGAGGGAGGACATGGAGGGAGGACATGGAATTACATCGATAATTAACACATGACTTCACAAGTAGAACTCACTTCACAGAAACCCACACTCACCCCACCATCCCCCCACACTCGCTCCACACTCACCCCACACTCACCCCACACTCACCCCACCATCCCCCCACACTCGCTCCACACTCACCTCACACTCACCCACAATCACCCCACCCTGCCCCCACACTCACCCCATGTCAGATTATCATCTTCATTGTAACCTGCATCTTTCCTATAAACTTTGGTTAGAGATGCATTGTGGACTTAGTTTGGGTGCACAACTAGGGTTTACCCTAGTTTGAGGTTGGAACCCAACCTTGGCCCAATTATTGGGCCCCCAAGGTTGGGTTGGGAGATAATTGCCCCCCCCAATAATGTTGACCCACTTTTGGTCAACATTATTGGTCCCCCCAATAACTCCTCAACCCAACTTATTGGTGGGGGCCAATAATGTTGGCATGGTTCTTCATCCTAGCTCAACTATGTAAACCCATGCCTAACCTGATGAAACTATCGGTTCCTCTTTACGTTTTCTCACACCCCACCCTCCACCCACACTCACCCCACGACAGAAAATCCTGAAACGCCAGCTGGTCAGCAGGCAGGTCAACGGGGTCAACGGCGGTCAACAGGTGGTCAAGGTGGTAGGAGGTACCCAGCAGGCCCTGACCAATCATGGAGGCCGATGCGCTGGTGAGCACGATGGGGGCGTACTCTGGCTGGCTGCCTGCACACACGCTGCCATGCCTGTGGTTGGGGCGGGGAGGGTGGGGCGATATGTGGGGGGAGTGGGGGCAGAGGAGGGATGCGCTGGTGAGCACGATGTGGGCGCATGCCCTGGCTGGCTGCCCACACACACGCTGCCGTGCCTGTGGTTGGGGCGGGCAAGTGGGGGGGAGATGGGGGAGGATGGGGGATGTGCGGGGAGTGGGAGCGCCCCAGCAGGCCCTGACCAATCATGGTGGGAGCGCCCCAGCAGGCCCTGACCAATCATGTTGGGAGCGCCCCAGCAGGCCCTGACCAATCATGTTGGGAGCGCCCCAGCAGGCCCTGACCAATCATGTTGGGAGCGCCCCAGCAGGCCCTGACCAATCATGTTGGGAGCGCCCCAGCAGGCCCTGACCAATCATGTTGGGAGCGCCCCAGCAGGCCCTGACCAATCATGTTGGGAGCGCCCCAGCAGGCCCTGACCAATCATGTTGGGAGCGCCCCAGCAGGCCCTGACCAATCATGTTGGGAGCGCCCCAGCAGGCCCTGACCAATCATGTTGGGAGCGCCCCAGCAGGCCCTGACCAATCATGTTGGGAGCGCCCCAGCAGGCCCTGACCAATCATGGTGGGAGCGCCCCAGCAGGCCCTGACCAATCATGTTGGGAGCGCCCCAGCAGGCCCTGACCAATCATGTTGGGAGCGCCCCAGCAGGCCCTGACCAATCATGTTGGGAGCGCCCCAGCAGGCCCTGACCAATCATGTTGGGAGCGCCCCAGCAGGCCCTGACCAATCATGTTGGGAGCGCCCCAGCAGGCCCTAACCAATCATGTTGGGAGCGCCCCAGCAGGCCCTGACCAATCATGTTGGGAGCGCCCCAGCAGGCCCTGACCAATCATGTTGGGAGCGCCCCAGCAGGCCCTGACCAATCATGTTGGGAGCGCCCCAGCAGGCCCTGACCAATCATGTTGGGAGCGCCCCAGCAGGCCCTGACCAATCATGTTGGGAGCGCCCCAGCAGGCCCTGACCAATCATGTTGGGAGCGCCCCAGCAGGCCCTGACCAATCATGTTGGGAGCGCCCCAGCAGGCCCTGACCAATCATGTTGGGAGCGCCCCAGCAGGCCCTGACCAATCATGTTGGGAGCGCCCCAGCAGGCCCTGACCAATCATGTTGGGAGCGCCCCAGCAGGCCCTGACCAATCATGTTGGGAGCGCCCCAGCAGGCCCTGACCAATCATGTTGGGAGCGCCCCAGCAGGCCCTGACCAATCATGTTGGGAGCGCCCCAGCAGGCCCTGACCAATCATGTTGGGAGCGCCCCAGCAGGCCCTGACCAATCATGTTGGGAGCGCCCCAGCAGGCCCTGACCAATCATGTTGGGAGCGCCCCAGCAGGCCCTGACCAATCATGTTGGGAGCGCCCCAGCAGGCCCTGACCAATCATGTTGGGAGCGCCCCAGCAGGCCCTGACCAATCATGTTGGGAGCGCCCCAGCAGGCCCTGACCAATCATGTTGGGAGCGCCCCAGCAGGCCCTGACCAATCATGTTGGGAGCGCCCCAGCAGGCCCTGACCAATCATGTTGGGAGCGCCCCAGCAGGCCCTGACCAATCATGTTGGGAGCGCCCCAGCAGGCCCTGACCAATCATGTTGGGAGCGCCCCAGCAGGCCCTGACCAATCATGTTGGGAGCGCCCCAGCAGGCCCTGACCAATCATGTTGGGAGCGCCCCAGCAGGCCCTGACCAATCATGTTGGGAGCGCCCCAGCAGGCCCTGACCAATCATGTTGGGAGCGCCCCAGCAGGCCCTGACCAATCATGTTGGGAGCGCCCCAGCAGGCCCTGACCAATCATGTTGGGAGCGCCCCAGCAGGCCCTGACCAATCATGTTGGGAGCGCCCCAGCAGGCCCTGACCAATCATGTTGGGAGCGCCCCAGCAGGCCCTGACCAATCATGTTGGGAGCGCCCCAGCAGGCCCTGACCAATCATGTTGGGAGCGCCCCAGCAGGCCCTGACCAATCATGTTGGGAGCGCCCCAGCAGGCCCTGACCAATCATGTTGGGAGCGCCCCAGCAGGCCCTGACCAATCATGTTGGGAGCGCCCCAGCAGGCCCTGACCAATCATGTTGGGAGCGCCCCAGCAGGCCCTGACCAATCATGTTGGGAGCGCCCCAGCAGGCCCTGACCAATCATGGTGGGAGCGCCCCAGCAGGCCCTGACCAATCATGTTGGGAGCACCCCAGCAGGCCCTGACCAATCATGTTGGGAAGAGGATGGGCGCGTGCTCCGGTTGACTTGACTGCGCGCACACATGCTGCCGTGCCTGTGAGTGAGGATGAGAGGGAGGAGAACTGCAGGGAGAGTGGGAAGGCGGGGGATTGGGGGAGGGCAGAGATGGATGGGATGCGCTGGGGTGGGGACCGGAGCACGAAGGGCGCGTGCACCGGTTGACTGCCCGCACGCACACTGCCGTGCCTGTGGTTGGGGCAGGGAGGGTGGGGCGATATGTGGGGGGAGTGGAGGGATGCGCTGGGGTGGGGAGCACGATGGGCGCGTGCTCCGGTTGACTTGACTGCCCGCACACACGCTGCCGTGAATGTGAGTGGGGAGGGGTGGGTGGATGACAGGGGATGCGAGGCGGTTTACACTCCACACCACACGATACGTTTTACACTCAGCTGTGCTTTGCACCCAACGTACCTGATGCAGCATCCCTGTTTCCCCAGCAGTTGCAGCTACTGCTCATTAAGGCAACTCAAATATCGTAGTACGAACCTGATGCAATATCCCGGGTTCCCCAGCAGCTGCTGCTGTTTCTCAAATGCCGGCCGCTCAGCCTCCGTCACCCGCAGGGCAAACGAGGCGGCAAACACCAGCGGGCGGGCGTAGTCCGTCTTATTCACCAGCGCGGAGAACGTGGGCTGGGTGAATGGATATAATGGAGTGCAGGGGGGGAGGAACATGGAGGGAGGCGGAAAGGAATGTGGTGAGAAGGTGGAGGGAAAAAGGATGGGGGGTTCTCAACAGCAGCGGCTTTTGAGGCGCCTCAAAAGTGGAGGGAAAAAGGATGGGGGGTTCTCAACAGCAGCGGCTTTTGAGGCGCCTCAAAAGTGGAGGGAAAAAGGATGGGGGGTTCTCAACAGCAGCGGCTGGCGTAATCCGTCTTGTTCACCAGAAGGGAGAACGTGCGCTGGTTGAATTGAACGGAAATGATGGGGAAGGAGGGGGGACATAGAGGGAGGGTGTGGAGAGGAAGGGGTGGAAGGAAGTGGGAAGGTTGAGAAGGGGATGACCAGGTGAAAGGGGCTGATTGGATGAGAAGGCGGTGGAGGGTTGTGGGGACGGTGAAGGGGACGGTGAAGGGGACGGTGAAGGGGACGGTGGGGGAAAGCGGAAAGGGGAAGGAGAAACATGCAATGTGAAGAGGGGAAACGGGACGGACAAGGAGGCAAGAATGGTAGACTGCAGAATAGAGAAATTCAACCACCAGCAAGCAAAGCAGGGCGGCTGAGCTGGTGCGCGGCTGACCTGGCAGGCGGCTGAACTGGCGGGAGGCTGACCTGTCGGGCGGCTGACATGGCGGGCGGCTGACCTGGCGCCGGAGGGCGGCTGACCTGGCGGGCGGCTGACCTGATCGAGAGTGGCGTTTGGCTTTTGGAAGAAGAAGGTGGAGACGACCGCTCCCAGCAGCTGCACCTGATGCGGTGACGTGGTGTTCAGTGCGATGAGATGGGATGGGATGGGATGGGATGGGATGGGATGGGATGGGATGGGATGGGATGGGATGGGATGGGATGGGATGGGATGGGATGGGATGGGATGGGATGGGATGGGATGGGATGGAATGGGATAAGTGTTCCATGGTGATATCAAGGAACATCAGCACGTGGGCATAAGCACGTGGGCATAAGCACGTGGGCATAAGCACGTGGGCATAAGCACGTGGGCATAAGCACGTGGGTACAAGCACATGCGCATGCCATAGGTGCATGAAACATGGCCCACGGGAAGAGTTGCATGGTGATAAGTCCGGTAGAGTTGGCACAGGGGGACCAGTCGTAATGACAAGGCAACGGGACGATAGGAGCAGGGATGATAGGAGCAGGGATGATAGGAGCAGGGATGATAGGAGCAGGGATGATAGGAGCAGGGATGATAGAAGCAGGGATGATAGGAGCGGGGATGATAGGAGCGGGGATGATAGGAGCAGGGATGATAGGAGCAGGGATGATAGAAGCAGGGATGATAGGAGCGGGGATGATAGGAGCGGGGATGATAGGAGCAGGGATGATAGGAGCAGGGATGATAGGAGCAGGGATGATAGGAGCAGGGATGATAGAAGCAGGGATGATAGGAACAGGGATGATAGGAGCAGGGATGATAGAAGCAGGGATGATAGGAACAGGGATGATAGGAGCAGGGATGATAGGAGCGGGGATGATAGGAGCAGGGATGATAGGAGCGGGGATGATAGGAGCAGGGATGATAGGAGCAGGGATGATAGAAGCAGGGATGATAGGAACAGGGATGATAGGAGCAGGGATGATAGGAGCAGGGATGATAGGAGCAGGGATGATAGGAGCAGGGATGATAGGAGCAGGGATGATAGGAGCAGGGATGATAGGAGCAGGGATGATAGAAGCAGGGATGATAGGAACAGGGATGATAGGAACAGGGATGATAGGAGCAGGGATGATAGGAGCGGGGACGATAGGAGCAGGGAGGGACGCAGGCTTCGTCTGAGCTGAGCTTTGGGATTCTTAATAAGCACTCTCGCCCCGACCCTAACGCCTGTCCCTCTCTTCGCCCAACTGAACCTCCTCCTCCCCTTCACAACCTCACCCAACCCCTCCTCACCTGGTCGGCGGACTGACTGAAGCGGCTCTCCAGCAGCGGCGTCCACTTGTCACACTCCTGCTCCAACCCCCATGCCCATGCCCATGCCCATGCCCATGCCCATGCCCATGCCCATGCCCATGCCCATGCCCATGCCCATGCCAATGCCCATGCCAATGCCCATGCCAATGCCAATGCCCATGCCAATGCCCATGCCTCTTCACCCAACTATACCTCACCCGTTCAGATCTTCACCCTACCCCCCCCCCCCACCCTACCCCCCCTCCCCCACCCTACCCCCCCTACCCCCCCTCCCCCACCCTACCCCCCCTACCCGCCCTCCCCCACCTCACCTGGTCCGCAGATTGACTGAAGTGGCTTTCAAGCAGCGACGTCCATTTGTTGCACTCCTGCTCAAGCTCAGCCTGCCGTGCCGCCTGAAACCCCTGATACGTCACCCAGAAAACGACAAACGCCACCGCCACAGTCACAGCCGCCCACATCAGCAGGCACAGGAAGCGCGCCAAGTGGGTCAGCTCCAGGCACTTCTCCACGCTGCACTTGCTCAGAAGCTTCCACAGCAACCCCAGGTCTCTCCCTTCTTCCTCCTCCTCCTCCTCTGCGTTTCTCCTCCTCCTTCCCCTTCTGCCCTTGTTGCCAAACGATCCCTGTTTCTGTCGCTTCTTATTCCGGAAACCCGCTGTTTTTGTAAAAATACCCCCGTTTCTGTCATATCCCGCTCCCCCTATCATCACCTCGATTCCCCCCCCTGGAATCTCCGCATCGCCAGCTTCCCCCCTTCGGCTTCCCCAAAAACCTTTTCTGCTCCAAGAAGCCCAAAAGGGGTAATTACCCTGAGAAATCGCATTTCGGCTGTTCTTCGAACCCCAGCTTTCAAAACGCCACCAGTTAGCGCAGTTCCCCCCCCCTTCCCCCTCCTCCGCGGACGTCCAGTCAATATCCTCCCACATCGCATCCTCGTCGTCAGTCCCCTCGCTATAATCACTCGTGCTGCTTCCGCCTGGTCCCCAAGCGCTCGACCGCTCGGACGGGCACGCGGACAGGAGCGGGGAGGCCTGGACTCTTTGACCCCGTTGACTCGGTTGTCCCCGTTGACCTGGTTGACCCGGTTGACTTGGTTGACTCGGTTGCTTCGAGTCGGAGTTTCTCGTGAGCCCAGCGGGCGCCGCATTGCCCCCCTGCCTGCTCCGCTTCCCCCTTGGTCCCCCGAGGCGGTAGCCGCTCCCGCCGGCGCTACCATCCTCCCCGCAGCTCGAGGGCGCAGCTCCGCCTCCGCCTGCCCCTGTGGTCGCGCCCGCCCCTGCTGCGCGGGCTGATACGTTCCGCGGCTCTGTCGCGGTTTCACCCGCGGGCGGAAGGATTCCGCGGTACCGTCGCGCGCACCACGCGCGAGCGTTGGCAGCGGCGTTCCCCAGCGGAGATCCGGTGGTAAGCGGATGCGGGGACTGCGCTCTTTCGCAGAGAGAGGGCGGAAGTAAGGAGGAGGCCCCGCGACCACGCTCTGCGGCGGGTCTTGTGCCGCCGTCCGCGCTTTCCGCTGCTGACGAACCGGCAGCGTGCCCGGCAGTCGCGGCGGGCGCATCTGGCGCGGCGACGGAAATTGTGGCGGGGATGGGTGCGGCGGAAATTGTGGCGGAGATGGGTGCGGCGGAAACTGTGGCGGGGATGGGTGCGGCGGAAATTGTGGCGGGGATGGGTGCGGCGACCGCGGGTGGGGCTCGACCGTCCGCGCGAGTGGGCGAGAGGAACGCGTGCCAGGAGCCGCTGCGACGCGTGCGGACCGGCTTAGATTGAGCGACACGTGGCGGAGGGGAAAGGCGGTCGGCCATTTGGATGCGTGCGCGCCGCACTGCTTAAGGGCCAACCTGAAATCGCTTCATAAAATAAGAAGTCGTGTCGGCCTACTAGTGAATATTATCTTTATTCCAAGTAGTACTAGGCCGGCTAGTGAGGGCCTTAGTGACTACCTCGAGGTCGAGCCACTTGGAACCATTTTAGCCCGCTGCACGGAAAAGTATGCTCGTCATGGCTGAAAAAAGGAGACTTTGTGTTGAGAAGCATGTGATGGCACTTAGCGGAAAAGTATGCTCGTTATGGCTGAAAAACGCAGACTTTGTGTTGATTTGAGAAGCGTGTGGGCCTGGCCTGACCGCTGAACAGCGTCGTGGGTAGAGATGAGGAGAATGATGGATAGGAACAGCTCAATCGCTCTCGTTTCGTCTCTACTCTTCTTTAGTTGACCCAGCGGGTCTAAGATCGCATTCCTGGCTCGGACACCGTCCGAAGTTCGCCCACCTGAAGGGTTTTTGGCGTGAGGATGGTGTCCGTGTGGGGCAGGGCCCCACCTCGGACATTGGCATGCGACCGCTATCGCGCTCGTCGCCCAATGGCATCGAGATGCTGTTTGGGTTCGCGACCAATCTGAGACTGACGCTACATTTGCTCGAGCGTCAACTTCCCACAGCCAAAACTGACTGTCGGGCACAGCAAAATATATATGGTAATCAATTTTGAGCTGTTCGATCTGAAAACGAGGGTCTAGATTTGCCAGCGGGAGGTTCAGAAGTTTTTTTTCTGAACCAGGCTTGCCAGCGCGAAGGTGTTGGCTGGCGAAAACCTGGATTTCGTGCGGACACTTTTCTTCCGCAGTAACAGCTCGCCAGGGTTTCGGGTTTCGGGTGGCAAATGTGCACCGTCGCTTTCACACATGCGGTACATTATCAATTTATTTGGATTGGGCAGCAAAACGAGGAAACGCGCCCGCAGCCCAACATTTCAGAGACAAAGGTGATGATGTGTAACGAAATCACTGGTTTGTTGAAAAATCGCGCAGTTCAGTATTTGACGTGCACGTCGGTCGCACGTTCAGTGGCCGACTGAAACCAAAGTGTCCAGACTTCGAACCGCGTGGGGCAACATTCAAAATTGCAGACCGCGTGGCCAAACATCAGATGGTCACCGGGCCAGGAACCCCCCTAAACAATTGGGGAGGCAGGTTATGACTGACAGCCAGGTGTGGGTAACACCCAGAGGGGCTTCTCCCCCTCCTTTACCCTTACCTCTACTCTCCTACCAGTCGGCCAGCGCAAAGTGTCGCGTAGAAGTACGGGGCAACCACCCCCTTGCATACGAGTCTACAAGCCCAAGCACGTACACAAACCTGAACTGAGGTGTTCTGGCATTGATCGGGATTTAGGGTGACGTCAGGTTGCACAATACTCACATTTACGGTTCTTGTATCGTGCTCCAGGACGGTTCCACACGGTGGAAAGCGTTTTTTTCACCATTTTGCACCGTGACGAAACAGAGTTGACCGCAGAAAGCGTACAAAACGTTCTACAACCACTAAGGGCGGGGTGCATCATGCAGTTTTTCAGGATCGCGATCCCAAGCGATCCTTGTTACAGTGTTTTGTCTTTTGCGTACAGTACTTACTGTAGCGTTGCTGCACCACGACCCTGGGGGATCGCAAAAACTGCCACTCAACCACCCTCGATCACGCTAGATCTGAGAGCCTGCGATCCCAAGCGATCAAGGGTGGAAGGTGCACCAAGTGCACACCGATCCTTGTTCGCGAGAAATATTTTGTCGCCTGACGACCAAACGAAACGTAAGCGAGGTAAGAACGAAAACATTACGATATCAACCCTGAAACCACACTGTAGATACGACGCCTCGACCGCGTCTGATTGGTGGTTGGGGATCGTGACTACAAAATTGCGGGTGGTGTATCATGGGAGGGCGCCGTTGGGTTGCATGGGACCTCGAGCACGCCCAAACCCACCGGATTCCACAGGGTTGCGGTGCTAGCATCGCGATCAGGGGCCGATCATGCAAATTCAGCATGATGCACCCCGCCCTAACACATCTCGGGTGCTTGGAGGGTCCAGTGCGAGGAAAAAGGTTAGATTGTTAGGGCGTGTCCGAAACGTCGACTCCGTCGACAAAACGTCGAAGAATGTCGGTAAATCCTGGCGGTTTTACACAAAAAGGCTAAACCGAGCCGACCAATGCTAACCGAAACGAACTCAAGCCAACCGAAGCATGCACAAACCGACACATCCACTCTAGGCTTCTGTATGGTGCACTGCAGCACCAAGCAGGAGCAGAGCAGACCTTGCTGAGCTGGACGGGTGGGGTAGGGCTGACGGCGATGCTTGCAGCAACCCTGCGGGGCGGTGGCGGCGGCAGCAGGTCATGTTGTGCTTTGAGATTCTCTGTTCACATCACGTGCTGGCGTGGCAATCACGGGCAACCTTCACTCATGACCCACCAAATGCAATCCGCATCATGATGTGGAACAGCTTCACAATGGAAATTCGTATACATCTGATGCGCGTTTTAGTCCCCCAAGGTCGGCTTGTGCTTTGGAATTATAACCAGTTTTCGCAGTTCGCGCTCTTCGTTAGGGTTCGTCACGGGCACGACGTGCCTATAACAGGCACATGTTGTAACAAGCTTGTTTTTTTCCCCAGCAGTGTGGGGCAACTTCTTTTTTTTTTGCTTCCGTAGGCTACGTTACCACCATTTTCGCCCACATCAAACACCCACCATTACATTCAACAGTCTGGCTTGTCACAAACATCACATTGACAAAACCGCCCAATAACTACGCACCACCTGTACCCCATCCCTCCACCCCACAAATGTCCTCGACATTGATACAATGCATCGCAAATGTGCACAAGGGGTACACAAAACGCATTCGACGAGGCAATCAAGGCCTTCTAGAGAGGAAACTCCCCTCTCACAGCCGCATCCACACTACGGCAGCCAGGTACCCGCTCATGACGGCGGGAGCACCGGCGTCAATGAGCTCCTGACGACGGGCCGTCTGAGCGACCCAGTCTGGGGTGGGCACCTGCATCCACACCGGGAGCACCCTGCCGTCGCGACGAGGGGTCTCTGGCGGGGGGGTGTCGGCGTGAGTCACGGCGGGGGGGGGGGGGGGGGGGGGGGGGGGGGGGGGGGGTGGACGTGGTTGAGATCAAGAACGAGACTTGCGCGCTCCATACGCGCAACGATGATAGGGTTGCGAATGTCGAAAAGGGCGCAAAGGTCGCGCGGCATGATGCAAGTCGCCAGCGCGTATCCGATCAACATCTCGCACGCCGCGCGCGCGGTATGACGAGCCTCGCGAGATGCGGGGTTGCTATCGTCGTACACCTGCTGCATGTTTGCCGGCGCCTCCCACATCACCGCAGCATCGCGGGACACCGGCTCCCTCGCAAGCGGATCCTCGCCAGGCTCGACGCACGTGGGCTGATTGTCGTCAATCCCCACGAATGCCTCTGCCGACATCGCGCTCGGACCGAGGCAGAGCCGGTCAATGAGGAGGCCAACATCATTGACCTCCTCATCAAGGCCGATCTCGGTCCCATCCGCGCCATCGACCACCGTGCCGCCGCTGTTGCGCGGGCCGGCTTTCACGTGAGGGAGAGAGAGTGCCCAAACGCGCGGGAGGCATCCCGTGTGCCACCAGCAGCGCTGGATGGGGCGCACGGGAAGGTTCATCCACGCGTCATTCAACCACTCAACCACGGCCCGCATGTTGGGCCTGAAGCGAGCCACTGCAGACGTGGCACCTTCGGCCGTCCATGTGCGGGTGAAGGCACGGAGCCAGTGCTGCCGGTACCGTGCCTTCGCCATGAAGATTAGTCCCTGGTCGAGGGGCTGGGTGAAACAAGTCGTGTTGGGCGGCAGATACACTAGCCGCACGTTCCCGAGCGCCACGGTGCGGAAACCCAACAGGTCCTCCGTCGTCGCGCCTTAGGTCTTGAGGGTGTGGTTGCTTGCATTGTCCAGAAGCACCACTATCTTCTTGCCCTCGGCGTACATAGTAGCGTCGAGCTGCTCGATGTAATGCGTGAACAACTGCGCGGGGGGGGCGGGGGAAAAAACAGAGAGCAAGCTAGTGACACACGGGTACATGGGTAGCATGCACATTCATGCATTTGACATCTACGCTTCGGTTTCTGACTTACATTGCTAGTCATCCATCCCTTGGCGTTGTGGCGCCAAAAGCAGTACTCCTCGGGGTTGTAATCGGGGCGGAAGTCGTGAGGTCGCTTGGACTTAGAGATGACCAAGGGCCTGAAGACTCGGGTACCGTCGGCGTTGACGAGGAAACCGACGGTAAGACGTTGCTTGGCGATTTTGCGGCCGGCCGTGCGCACGCTCCCGTAGGTTTTCCGCAGCAGGTTTGAAATGTACAACGCTGTTTCATCGAAGTTGAAGGTGTTGCTTGGAGTCACGGCCAGGTGCATCAGCAGCTGCAGCAACTTCTCCTTCGTCGTCCGCACAACATTCATATCCTGGTCGGCCGCCTCGCCGACCGCGCTCATGCAGCCAATGCCCTGACGGCGTAGCACGCGCCGAACCCAGCCGATGGAGCAGCAAAACGTAGGCGGGGCACCGTTAGCTTGTGCCATATTCGCGACATGGTCGCGAATGGTGGCGAGAGTGAGCGGGACTCCTGCGGGCCCCGCACTGGCGATCCACCTGGACATGGCACGCTCGAGCACCGGATAAGCTCCGCCACGGACGCGAATGTTGTCGGCGTCGGCATCAGGGCGGACCCAACGTTCGGCGCCCTTAAGAACGCGACCAATTGTGCTGCGGTCAGGGCGTAAGCCGAACCTGGTGAAACACCACCGGGCGAGGTCAACATGGCGCAATTGAGGGTTTGCGACGTGGTGCTCGCAAATCGCTCTCTTGATCAGCAGGCCAAGCTGAGTGCGGTGGTAAAGGCGCGGCATGGTATTTAGCTGTGAATGTGTTGACGAGTGAGTTTAGCGCGGCTTGGTGTGTCTTCTTATTCTACATTTTCAGAAGAGACAAAAAGAGGTGGGGTGAGCGCACTTTCACATTGTTGTGTTCAGCCGTACTTTTGTGCTCTCGCATCTGGTCATGCTTTGAAACCAGAAGGAACCCGGTAACCACAGCCATGCGTGGTGACGTGTGATTGCTGCTCATCGTGAGGACGAAGTTGTGTCTGTATCGAGCAGGGGCAAAGTCCACATGGCGTCATGAATTTGCCCAAGGTTTGTTTGGAGCACCATGACACTGCTTACGTGTCAGGTGGAGGTGCGTGAATGTGGAAACGAGATTGTGCGGTTTTCGCACACGCGCATTGGCGATGTTGTCCCTGGCCTGAAACCTGGAGGCAAAGGGTGTGTCTTGTTTGTTTTTTCGTCTGAATACATCTGTGGTTGTATCAGCGCAACTCGGTCAGATAGTCCAAAGGTGTGTGTACCGTGGGTGCAACACTCGGGCAAAAAACCCACGGGTGCAGAGTTTCCAATTGGTGCAGACCAATTGCGCGTGCATGGGGTGAGCATCATGTGTAGTATGTCACTCTAATACCAGTTCTATTCTATTCACACTACAAATGTTTCCGCTTTAAAATCCCGCGCTAACAGAAGCTCATTTTCTAACCGAGGAGCTTTTTCCTATAATTCCTAGGTGTAGCCCCTCCTCTACAGTTCCCTTGCGGGTGGCCGAAAATGTACAGTAACCAATCTGATCTTGTTTTGTAGAGCGTATCAGGGGATGAACCAATCGCATTGTAGTGTCAGATTGCATGTGCGACTTGTTCAATAAGATTTGTCGCGCAACAGTAGGTTTCAATACCAGCGACCAATTTGTAACACTTCGTCGCCAGAAACAGCCTGACGATGCCGTACCATCCAAATTTCTTGATGACGACCTAAACAGGTCCTCAGATTCGTTTTTGGCCTGTCTGATTCGTCAGACTAGTACACAGTTTTAGTCTGACACTCTTAGAGTAGGTATTAAAAAAAGGCTGAAATTTTAGATTGTCTTAAAAAAAAGTCTGAACATTCGAAATCAATGTATCCAATGTTCATCATAAATGTATTCAATGTTTCATTCATCTGATACCGAAACATGCTAGACTAAGGGGATTTTCGGGAGAACATGCTCTGACGGCGAATCTGCAATGTCTGACGCGAATCTTGTGTCAGGGCGAATCTTGTGGTGATTGGGCGAATCTTGTGGTGATTGGGCGAATCGTGTGGTGATTGGGCGAATCTTGTGTCAGGGCAAACCTTGTGGTGTGAAAGGGCGAATCTGCAATGTGAGACGCGGATTTTTTGTGATTGGGCGAAATCGTTGTGCTCTGACGGCGCAAATCTGTGGTGTCAAGGCGATTTTGTTATGATTGGGCGAAATTTTGTGCTGTAAGGCGCGGATTTGCTGTGTCAAGGCGATTTTGCGTTGACAGTGCGAATCTGCTGTGACCCGTAAGTCCGAATCACCAGTCAAGAACGTATTTTTACTCTGAATGATCAGAGTACACTTCTGGAAAACTCTGAAATTTCAGAGTTGACCTTAACATTTTTTCGGAAAATTACAGAGTTGGGCCCCTAAAATCCCTGATTTTAACAGAGTTCACTTAAAAAAAAATATGAATTCTCAGAGTTTTTCATGCAAATCAGAGAAAAAAGTCTGACTTCTGAGGGCCTGGACCTAAACCGCCCTATTGGGACTATAGGATCCATTTTGCCCGGGATTTTGACGTTTTGACACATAGTCCCGCGCGGCTCGTGTTTCTCAGGCGGACTTTCTACGAGAACAACTGTACACCTTGTACAGAAGGACACACAAAGGAGCTGTCTAAAGAGAGTAATATCCTCGAATAAGCTTCTTGACAAATCCCCAAAACGCGTTCACGGAAAAAATAGAACTTTTTCGTCAAGCGAATTTCTTTTTCACCCCGCCTGGCTCCTCCCCTCTCCCCTCCAAGCGCCATCCACAGAATCCTGCAAACCTCCTTTTCCCGCGCTCCCCCTTGGGCCCTCTCCTCGGTCGCAACTCCTAGAGGCTAGCACGGACCGCCCTGCGCTTAGGCCATCCGAGGAGCCAATCTCATGACTGCACGAGCCGAGTGAATTCTTAGGCCTCGATTGGACGATTGGATTCGTAACTTGAACCTTGCTTCTCCCACCGGGCACTATGGGTCGCGAGGTCGAGTCCAGCGAGGTGGAGGTGGACGCGTTACCGACGCCTCCTAAGTTCGATCTGAACATCGACTGGTCGCAAGTTAATCTCGAGGCGCTTCAGTTGCCTGAAGGCGAGGATTTCGACATTAAGAGGTGGGCTGGGTGTTTGTAGAGCAGTTGGTTTCTGAGGTGGACTTGGTTGTGGAGAAAGCAGAACTAAGATCGGCTCTGATAAACACATCTGATTGTGAGGAATGGCTTTGAAATGCGAATTTACGGCAAGATTATGAACTCCTGGCTGACCATAAGGCTGATTGGTTCTGCAGCAAGCAGCCTGACAAGGAGAGGGAGGAGGGGGTGGAGGAAGGGGGAATGGGGTCGGGGGCATGTCGCAAGCCGGAGTAGTAAGGTCGAGCGATCGCATGGCTCTTTTAGGGTTTCCGATCTATAGCATACCACCGCAGGGTTTGTGATTTCCTTCCTCCTTCGAAGATATTGAAAACGCTTTCGGTGCGCGTCGATTAGCTTGCTGACTCGATGCAATTGGGTATAGGTACCATGGCGGCTCGCGAACTGTCACAAGATCTGCACCCGTCGCTAGTGGATCAGGATAATGCTGGACTCGTTTCTGATTGCGCCTCCTCGTCTCCTCCTATCCACTCGGTCCGAAGGAGAAATGCGCCTGAGTCGCCGACGAGTTCAATTTCCTCCTCCGCTCCTTTTTTTGAGGCGCCTCAGAAATTATCCCATGGAGAAATTTGCCTGAGACGCCCGCTTCGATTATTTCTCTTTGGTAAATATCCTCTTCCCGACTTACCGTCTTCCCTCCTCATGTCCGCGTTTTCCCACTAATCCTTTGGTAAATATCCTCTCCCCCTCACTTCCCCTCTTCCGTCCCTCCTTTTCCGTTTTCTCGGCTGCAGCAAGGATGAGGAGGAAGAGCTGGAGGTGGTTGAAACTGAAACGGGCTTCGGGAACGTCATCGTCGTCGACAAACTGCTCCTTACCTACCTTCCCGTCTCTCCCTTCCCCCATTCCTCCTTCCCCGCACCCTCCTTTCCCCCCCGGCTGTCCCTCCTCTGTCGCTGCAGCGAGGACGAGGAGGAGGAGCTGGAGGTGGTGAAGACGGAAACGGGCTTCGGGAACAACCTTCTCCGCACCTACCTTCGCGTATCTCCTTTCCCCCGTTCCTCCTTCCCCGCACCCTCCTTCCCCGCACCCTCCTTTCCCCTCGGCTGCAGCGAGGACGAGGAGGAGGAGCTGGAGGTGGTGGAAACCGAGACGGGCTTCGGGAACGTCATCGTCGTCGACAACCTGCCCGTCGTGCCGCCCGAAAAGTTTGAGAAGCTGCAGACCGTGGCCAAGAAGATTTTCGGGCAGATTGGGTTGATTCGGGAGGGGGGGCTGTGGATGCCCGTGAATAAGGAGACGCAGAAGACGAACGGATATGCCTTTATCGAGTATGCCACTCCCCAGGTACGAAACAGTTTTTGCCAAGTAGCGATTGTTTCGTTAGCGTCTCTCTGTCCGCATTTTCCCCGTTGCTTTCTCCATCGGTTTCCCGCTCTTTCCACCATTTTTCCTCCTCCCCCCACCTTCCTACTCCCGCTTCCGTCGTCCCCTCTTTCGCCTGTTCTTTCCCCCCCCCCTCACTCCCCCCCTCCCTTCCCGTGTCCGTCCCGTCCCCGTGACTTTTATTCCTCTCTTTTCGAAGTCACTTTTGAGAGTTCTCAAAAGCGCTTCCCCTTTCGACCGTGCACGAGGCGCAAGCGGCTTGCGAGCAGGTGGACGGGTAGAAGCTGTTTATCCGCCTTCTCGCCCTCACATTCCCCTCCTCTCTCCCCCTCTCCTTTTCCTCTCCTCTCCTCTCTCCTCCCCTCCCCCGGTTCACCGTACAGGAGGCGCAGGCGGCGCGGGAGCAGATGGACGGGTACAAGCTGGACAAGGCGCACGTCTTTAAGGTCTCCATGTTCGACGACTTTGACAAGTACGCGCGCGTGCCCGACCAATACGTGCCGCCGCCGCAAAAGGAGTACACTCCCTCGGTGCGTGGGTGGATGGGGCGCGTAAGGGGATGGGCGGGCGCGGGCGGGCGGGCGGGCGGGCGGGTGGGGGATGGGTGGGCAAGTGGGTGCGTGGGGGGTCGGAGCGACTAGGGCCAAGGGCGCGTTTGTCCAAACGTCGTCTTATCTTTTGCATCACTACTTGCCGCCGCTCAAGGGGTACGCCCTTGGTGGGCGTGTGGATGGGCGGGGGATGAGGTTTACCTTGAGTCGGCGCAGCACGAAATAACACACCCCTTCCCCACCCCACCAACCCCCCCTCCCCCCCCCCCGCCCGCCCCCTCTCTCTTCCTCCCTACCCCGCCCCCCTTTTCTTCCCTCCCCATTCTCTCCCTCCCCACCCTTTCCCCCTCTCCCCAACGCTTTCCTTCCCCCCCTCTCCCCCCCCTTCTTCCCACTCCCCGCGCGCAGGAGAATCTGCAATGGTTCGCGGCGGACGAGCGCGGGCGCGACCAGTTTGTGATTCGCTTCGCGTCCGAGACCGAGGTCTACTGGAACGACGCGCGCGCCGCCAAGCCCGACCCCGTCTACCGCCGCACGGTAGGGCAGAGGGGGAAAGGAGGTGGGGTGAGCCGCACGGCAGGGAGGGGGAAAGAAAGGGGGGAAGAGGGGGGAAAGCCGCACCGCACAGTAGGGGCGAAGGCGGGAGGGAGAGGAGGGGGGTGGGGGGTGAATGGGTTGAGCCGCACTGTGGGTTGAGCCGCACTGTGGGTTGAGCCGCACTGTGGGTTGAGGGGAGCGAGCGGCATGGTACGGGACCGACCGAGGTCTACTGGAACGACGCGCGCGCCGCCCAGACAGACCTCGTCTACCGCCGCAATGTAGGGTCAAGAGGGAGGGGGATGAGCCGCAAGGGGGGATGTGCCGCAAGGGGGGGTGAGACGCAGGGGGGGGGGTGAGACGCAGGGGGGGGTGAGACGCAGGGGGGGGTGAGCCGCAGGGGGGGGTGAGCCGCAGGGGGGGGTGAGCCGCAGGGGGGGGTGAGCCGCAGGGGGGGGTGAGCCGCAGGGGGGGTTGGTGAGCCGCGGGGGGTGATGCGCCACGCGCACGCAAGGGGGAGATGATCGAGCAGCATGGTAGGGGAGGGATGATCGACGCTATTCCCCCTTTCTCCCACCCTCCCTTCCCCCTACCCTCTCCCCCCCCCCCTCTCCCCCTCTCCTCCCCCCTCCTCCCGCCACCTCCCCCTTTCATCAGTTTTGGACGGAGAGCTTCGTGCAGTGGTCGCCGCTGGGCAGCTATCTCGCGACCATCCATCGCCAGGGCGCCGCCATCTGGGCCGGCCCCTCGTGGCAACGCATCATGCGCTTCGCACACCCGCAGGTGGGTTGCGAGGGGTGCAGGTGGGTTGCGAGGGGTGCAGGTGGGTTGTGAGGGGTGCAGGGTGGAACAGTCATCAGGGCCGGCCCCTCGTGGCAATGCATCATGCTCTTCGCACACCCGCAGGTACGACCTCCCCTAAATAAGACTTCCCCATTCTCCCCCACTCCCCTTCCCCCCCCTCCCCCCCTCCCCCCTCTTCCCACCTTGGCGTCCCTCTCCGTGTCTGGCCGCGCCTGATCTGCATGCCTCGCGTGTCTGGCGTTATTCCCCTTGGTTCCCACCGTTGTCTCCTTCCCCACTCCCACACCTCACACACCAAACACCCGTTATCTTCACTCCTCCCCTTTTCCCCCTCTCCCCCCCCCCCCCCCCCCCTTCCCCCTCCCACCTCCCTCCCTCGTCCTTCCCATCCCATGTCTCCCTCGCCCGTTATAATCACACGTCAGGTGCGCCTGATTGACTTCTCGCCAAGGGAGCGATTCCTGGTGACGTACAGCAGCCACGAGCCTGCTCACGCTGTGCTGTGCGTGATAAGTCGAGTTTTGAGTCGACTCAAAACTCGACACACACGTACACACACGTACAGCAGCCACGAGCCTGCTCACGCTGTGCTGTGCCCTCACCTTCTCGCGTGTCTCTTCTCCCCGCACGCTGTGCCGTGCTGCTGTATTCCCCCCCTTCTTTCCCCCTCTTCCCTCCTCAGGTGCGCCTCATCGACTTCTCGCCCGGGGAGCGGTTCCTGGTGACGTACAGCAGCCACGAGCCTGCCAACCCGCGGGACACGCAGAAGGTGGTGCTGAATGTGTTTGACGTGCGCACGGGGAAGAGCATGCGCGAGTTCAAGGGCGCGGCAGATGATTTCGCCACTGGCGGCGCTGGTGGCGTCGCTGGCGTGCAGTGGCCTGTGTTCAGGTGGGTTCTGGTGGGTTCTGGTGGGTTCTGTGGTCTTCAGGTGGGTCGTGACTCGTGAACCGCGTGGTGGTGTAGTTGGTTGGTCCCTCCCCCGCCTCCTCCCTTAAGCAGAAGGTGGTGCTGAATGTGTTTGACGTGCGCACAGGCAAGAGCATGCGCGAGTTCAAGGGTGCAGTGGACGATTTCGCCACTGGCGGTGCGGGTGGTGTTGCTGGCGTGCAGTGGCCCGTCTTCAGGTGGGTTCTGACTCGTGAACCGCGTGTTGGTGTAGTTGGCCCCTCCTCCTCCCCCTCCCCCTCCCCCTCGCCCTCCCCCCTCCCCAACGCCCTCCCCCTCCCCCTGCTCGACAAGAAGTCGCTCAAGGCGGACCATGTGCTCAAGGCGGACCATGTGCACCTTGAAGGGCCAAGGGAGAGGGAGACAGCTTCACCTGCTCTTTCCCCTCTCCCTTCGTCCCCCCTGCCCCTCCTCTTGCCCCTCCTCTTGCCCCTCCAATCTCCCTACCCCGCTCCTTACCCCGCCCCTCCCCAGTCGCTCCCTTCTCTCTTGCAGGTGGGCGGGGGGCCGCGCGGACAAGTACTTGGCGCGGCTAGGCAAGAACTGCGTGTCGGTGTATGAAACAAGCACCATGTCACTGCTCGACAACAAGTCGCTCAAGGCAGACCACGTGCCCGACTTCACCTGCTCTCCTCTCTCCTCTCTCCTTCCTCCCCCTCTCCCCCTCCTCTTGCTCCCTCCAAACTCCCTACCCTTTCCTCCTTCCCTTCCCCCTCTCCCTTCCCTTCTCCCTTTCCCTTTTCCTCCCTCTCCCCCCCTTCCCCTCCCCCGACCCTCTCCCTTCTGCGCAGGTGGGCGGGCGGCCGAGAGGACAAATATTTCGCGCGGCTGGGAAAAAACTGTGTGTCGGTGTATGAAACAAGCACGATGTCGCTGCTGGACAAGAAGTCCCTCAAGGCGGATCACGTACAGGACTTCACGTGGTCGCCGGCTGAGCCCATCCTGGCCATGTACATTCCTGAATCGAACGGGGGCAACCAGCCCGCTAGGGTGAGTGGGGCGGGTGTGGTAGCAGTTGGGCTGATAGCACAGCTGGTAGCAGCTGATAGCACAACTGGTAGCAGCTGATAGCACAGCTGGTAGCAGCTGATAGCACAACTGGTAGCAGCTGATAGCAGCTCGAGTCCCTCAAGGCGGATCACGTGCAGGACTTCACGTGGTGGGCGGCTGAGCCCATTCTCGCCATGTACATCCCTGAATCCAATGGACGGAATCAGCCCGCCAGGGTGAGTGGGGTGGGCAAGTGTGATGTGAGTGAGTGGGGTGGGCAAGTGTGATGTGAGTGAGTGGGATGGGGTTTGGGGCAATTGGCCCTCCTCAGCCTCTCATCCCCCCCATTCCCCCCACTCGTATCCACTCTCTGCCCCGCTCGTATCCACTCTCTGCCCCGCTCGTATCCACTCTCTGCCCCGCTCGTATCCTCTCTCTGCCCCGCATCCCCCGTAAATCGTCCTCGTTGCCCTCCCTCCATCCCCCTCACTCGCCCCTCGCCTGAGTGAGTCTGGTCGCGATCCTATCGAGGGAGGAGCAGAGGCAGAATAATTTTTTTATCATGGCATGGCATGGCATGGCATGGCAGGGCGCCCTTAACCCTCTTCCGCCCCGCATCTTCATCCTCTCCCCCTCTGCCCCTCCTCCCCCTCTGCCCGCTTCCCTCCATTTCCACCCCTCCTCCCCCCTGCCTCCCCCCCCCCCCCCCCCCCCCCCCCCCCTCCCCGGTGAGTCTCATCGCGATCCCTGCGTGAGGAGCCGAGGCAGAAGAATCTGTTCAGTGAGAGCGAGTGCCGCATGGTGTGGCAGAGACGTGGCAGCGCAGCGTGGCGCGGCAGTGAATGCTCCACCCTCGTTTTCCACCTCCCCATCGCCCCCCCCTCTGCCCCTCCTTCCCCCCCTCCAGCCCCCTCCCTCCCTCTCCGGCCCTTCTCTCCCCCCCCTTCACCCCCCTCCCCATCCTCCTTCAGGTGAGCCTGGTCGCAATCCCATCTCGGGAGGAGCTGCGTCGGAAGAATCTGTTCAGCGTGAGCGAGTGCCGCATGGCGTGGCAGAGCTCCCTAAACCCACTTCCTCCCATCTCCACCTCTTCCCCTCCTCTCTCACCCTCTCCCCCCAACCACCAGGTGAGCCTGGTCGCAATCCCGTCCCGCGAGGAGCTGCGGCAGAAGAACCTGTTCAGCGTGAGCGAGTGCCGCATGGCGTGGCAGAGCGCCCTCAACCCTCCTTCCCTGCGTCCGCCCCCTCTCTGCCTTTCTTTTCCCCCCATCTGCCCCCCCTCCTCCCTCTCCGCCCGTCCTATCCCGCACCTCCCCTCCACCCTCTCTCCCCCCCCCCCCCCCAGGTAAGCCTCGTTGCTATCCCATCGCGAGAAGAGCTGAGGCAGAAGAACCTATTCAGTGTGAGCGAGTGCCGCATGGCGTGGCAGAGCGCGGGCGAGTACCTGGCAGTGAAGGTGGACCGCTACACCAAGACCAAGAAAACCACCTACTCGGGCTTCGACCTCCTCCCCCCTAAACCCTCCTTTCCCCTCCCCCGTTCCTTCTTCTCCCACCCTCCGCCCCTCCGCCCCGCCTCCTCCGTCCTCTCCCCCCCCCCCCCCCCCCCCCCCCTCACTCTGTCTGCAGGTGAGCCTGGTTGCTATCCCATCCCGCGAGGAGCTGAGGCAGAAGAACCTGTTCAGCGTGAGTGAGTGCCGCATGGCGTGGCAGAGCGCGGGCGAGTACCTGGCAGTGAAGGTGGACCGCTACACCAAGACCAAGAAAACCACCTACTCGGGCTTCGAGCTCTTCCGAATCAAGGAGCGCGACATCCCCATCGAAGTCCTCGAGCTAGAAAACAAGAACGACAAAGTTATCGACTTTGCGTGGGAGCCGAAGGGGCATAGATTCGCGGTGATTCACGGCGACGGGCCGAAGCCGGACGTGTCGATTTACACGATGAAGCAGGCGGGAGCGGGCGGGGCGGGCGGGGTTGTGAAGGTGGCGAAGCTGACGACGCTCAAGGGGAAGCAGGCGAACACGCTGTGCTGGTCGCCCATGGGACGGTTTCTGGTGCTGGCGGGACTGAAGGGGTTCAACGGGCAGTTTGAATTCTTCAATGTGGATGAGCTCGAGACCATGGGCACTGGGGAACATTTTATGGCCACCGATGTGGAGTGGGACCCCACTGGCAGGTGAGGTGGGGCTTAGGGTTGGGGTGTTGTGGTTGGGAAAAGGGAGAGGACGAGGGGGCAGGGGAGAGAGCGGGGGGGTGTGGGGGATGGCTGGAGTGATACAGCACGGGGGTGGGGTGTGGGTGTGCATGTGAGACGTGGATGAGAAACGATGGGCACGGGGGACCACTTCATGGCCACTGATGTCGAGTGGGATCCCACCGGCGGGTGAGATAGCGCTTCGTGTGGTTGGGAAAAAGGAGAGACAGCAGTGACAAAAACAAGAGGAAGATGAGTGTTAGAGGAAGATCTAGTGTGGGTGAAATTTTGGTATTTTCTGTAAATGGCGAGATGCCCTCCGTGTGTGAGTGATGGAGTGACATGTAAGTGAAATAAGAGTGCTTTTGAGACGTCTCAAAAACACTTTTATTTCACGTGGCTATTGTTTGCAGATGGCTGGCGAGATGCCTTTTGTGTGAGAGTGATGGACTGAGATGTGCCAAGATCCGCGTTTCCCTCCCCTTCCCTTCCCCTCTCCGTTTTTTTCTGTTTCCGCATCCCCCACCGTTTTCCGTATCACTCGTCCCTTTCCTCTTCCCTCTTTCCCCGCATTACACCCGTGTCGCAGTTAAACCACCTAGCCTCATCACTGCTATCTGGTCCTTCAGTGGCCGCTTTACTCCTCTTTTTGTTTCCTCTTAAACCCTCCCCTTCCCACCCCCCCCCCCCCTGTCGCCCCTCTCACCCTCTTCCCCTTCCCCCCTCCTCCTCCTCCTCCCCTTCCCTTCTCTTCTTTTCCCTGTATCCCTCTCCTCTCCCGTCTCCCCTTATCACCCACTAGGTACCTGGCAACAGCAGTGACGTCGGTACATCAGATGGAGAACGGATTCCACATCTGGTCCTTCAGTGGCCGCCTGCTCTACCAGCTGCCCCGCGACCGCTTCATGCAGGTGAGAGGAAGGTTTGTAGGTTAGAGGAAGGTTCGTGCAGGTGAGAGGAAGGTTCATGCAGGTGAGAGGAAGGTTTGTAGGTCAGAGGAAGGTTCGTGCAGGTGAGAGGAAGGTTCGTGCAGGTGAGAGGAAGGTTCGTGCAGGTGAGAGGAAGGTTTGTGCAGGTGAGAGGAAGGTTTGTGCAGGTGAGAGGAAGGTTTGTGCAGGTGAGAGGAAGGTTCGTGCAGGTGAGAGGAAGGTTCGTGCAGGTGAGAGGAAGGTTCGTGCAGGTGAGAGGAAGGTTTGTGCAGGTGAGAGGAAGGTTTGTGCAGGTGAGAGGAAGGTTTGTGCAGGTAAGAGGAAGGTTCATGCAGGTGAGAGGAAGGTTCGTGCAGGTGAGAGGAAGGTTCGTGCAGGTGAGAAAAAGGCTTCTCAAATCCCCGGCGAGAGAGTGGTTTGGTTGGCATATGTTTACCTTGTGAGTGCGCATGGTGCATGATGTTACTGCTGTTGCAGGCAACCATGCATGTGACGCAGGCATGATCGCATGCTAACATGCGCTCAGTTTTTTAAGATGGTTGCATCAGATGCATCAGCAACAACCACCCCTGACCAGTTTTTGTTGATCCCCTCTGAAGCCTAATGCGCCTCCCCCCTTCCCCCCTGTTCCCCCCTGTTTTTGTGTCCATCCGCACTTTTTATCATGATTATCCGTCATATTCTCCTCGTCCTCTTCTTCTCCACCCCTCACAATGTCCTCTTCCCTATCCTCTCCTCCTTTTCCTCCCACCTTCCCCTCCCCTTCTCGCAACAACCTTCCAGTTCCTGTGGAGACCCCGTCCCCCCTCCCTGCTCCCCGCGGAAAAAGAGGCAGAAGTTTCCAAGAACCTGCGCAAGTACAGCCGAAAGTACGAGGTGGAGGACGAGGAGGCCGGGGCGGCGTCGAGTGCAGCGGAGGTGGAGAGGCGGCGCATGGTGATGGACGAGTGGCGGCAGTGGCAGGCTGAGTGGCGGCACATTGATGAGCAGGAGGAGAAGCTGCGGGCTGCGATCCGAGGCGGCGTGAAGGAGGAGGAGGAGTATAAGGCGGAGGAGGTGGAGGTGGAGGAGATCATTGACATTCAGGAGGAGATTGAGAGGTTCGAGTGAGAAGGAGTGAGAGGGAGGGGGTGCTGCAGAGGTGGCAGAGGTCGCAGTGGCAGTGGAGTGGCTGTGAATGGACGAGCAGGTGGTGAAGCTGAGGCTGGTTATCGGGGAATGGAGGTGGGTGGATGGGGAGGTGAAGATAGGGGTGCCTCAAGATGGTGTTGGCTTACAAGAAGCTCTGTTTGTTAGGACATGCAGTTCTGGTGCACTTGTTATTTGTCAGTTGACACTCATGTATTTGTTTGGTCCCAATTGGAAGGGAAGGTGTTGTCAGAATATTGTGCTGTGTAGGCTGTAGTGGGGTAGCCAATATGGGGTACAACCTAGTTAGGGTTAGTATTTGTACCTAACTCATTGTTAGTTCCATTCTTGTTGCTAGATTTTGACATGGTATCAGAGCAGGTCCTGTTCTAGGTTCGTTTTTTTTAGGGCCCTTCGTACAGTTCCCTGCCCGTAGTGCGTTACCCTGCTCGTAGCGTCCTACCCTGCCCGTCGCGCTGCCCCACCAGTCGCGCTGCCCTCCCCGCGTGCCGCCCTGCTGGCTGCCGCGCTGCCTTGCCCTGCCCTGCGTTGCGCTGCCTCGTGCACGCTCTGCCCTGCCCTGCGTTGCGCTGCCTCGTGCACGCTCTGCCCTGCCCTGCGTTGCGCCGCCCCGCGCACGCCCTGCCCTGCGTCGCGCTACCCGCGAACGCCCTTCCCTGCGTCGCGTCGCCCGTGCGCCCCTGCTGCCCGTCCCGTCGCCCGTGCGGGCTGCCCCAGCCCGTCGCGTCGCCCGTTCGCCCTGCCCTGCCCGTCGCGTCGCCCGTGCGGGCTGCCCCAGCCCGCCGCGTCGCCCGTACGCCCTGCCCCTGCCCGTCGCGTCGCCCGTGCGGGCTGCCCCAGCCCGCCGCGTCGCCCGTACGCCCTGCCCTGCCCGTCGCGTCGCCCGTGCGGGCTGCCCCAGCTCGCCGCGTCGCTCGTACGCACTGCCCTGCCCGTCGCGTCGCCCGTACAGGCTACCCCAGCCCGCCGCGTCGCCCGTACGCCCTGCCCCTGCCCGTCGCGTCGCCCGTGCGGGCTGCCCCAGCCCGCCACGTCGCCCGTACGCTCTGCCCCTGCCCGTCGCGTCGCCCTGCTGGCCGCGCGCCGCCCTGTGCAGCCCGCGCGCTGCCCTTTTCTACCCGCACGCCGCCCTGGCAGCCTGCGCGCCGCCCTTGCAGCCCGCGCGTCGCCCTTTCCGGCCCGCGCACTGCTTCTTGCCTGCTCGCGCACCCTTCCCAGCACGAGCGCCGCCCTACTTGCAGCGCGCCGCCCTGCTCTGGCCGCGCGCCGCCCTTCCCTGACCGTGCGCCGCCCCGCCCTACCCTACGCACTACCCTAGTGCCTGCTCGTCGCTCTGCCTTCCCAGCGTGCTGCCTTGTTGGTCGCACGCCTCCTTGCTTTGCCCGCTATGACTTCTCTTCGTGGTAGCGGTGGGAGTGGTGGCGACGGTGGTGGCAACAGTGGGAGTGGTGGCGACGGCTGTAGTGGCAGTCGTGGTGGCGCTGTTCAGTGGGGCGTTTCTGGCGGTGGCCAGATGCAGCTGCGGTAGCTTTCACGCGTGACCCTTACGTCCCAGCAGCTCCATGAGTGGTATATTCAGCATTGTGCGTCTCGGAGTACTGGTCGCTGCCCGTACGTCATTCGCACAGGTGCTCGGGCTGGTCAGACTTGCGGGACACCTGGCCACTCACAGTCCCACTGCTTCGCCTGTCTGAGCGACTCCTGGCGCGCTGTGTTTGGTAACGAGGCTGGGCTTCCCCGCTGGCTAGAGCTGCTTCGGGACAAAGTGGATATATTTGCTCTAGACTATGACGCTATCCTTACTGCCATGTATGCTTTGACTGCTGGTACTGAGGGTGACTGTTCCCTGTGCGTGTCGCCCGACCAGGGTATAGAGGCTGCTGCTCTAGGTGCTAGTGAGTCTGCTCTCTCTGGTACTATGCCAGCTGAGGCCTTGCATACCTTCACGCCCAGAGTTGCTAGGTGCCTGATGTAGTCATTTCTGTCATTGCTTGTTCAATCATTCTGTAATTCCAACTTTGCTAGTGGAAACTCTTGCCGATTTCTCCCGTGAATGTGCAAGCACTAAGGAACTAAGCAAAGCTACGATCACTCCTAGTAGTTCGTGCCAACCCCCGTAGTCTAGCTCACTACCGATGTGTCTGGTCAGGTTCCGTCGTCCGGTCAGGTTGCAGCTTCTTGCTCGTGTCGGTCGCTTGCTCACCCCACCGTTCTGTGGCACTACCGTCCTGGCCACCTGTCCGTTCCTCGCCTTCGCACCATGTCCAGTCAGCGTCTTGTCTTAGGCCTCCCGCGAGTCTTGCCGTCGCTGCCGCCTTCGCCTGCTCCGCCTTGCGGTCCTTGCGTCGAGGTTCGGCTGCGCGCCACCCCTCACTCCTCCTCCCTTCGTCCGGCCACCGAGCCCTTCGAGACTCTCCACTTGGACGTCTGGGGCCCCGCCCCCCGCTCCGGTCCTGAGCGAGAGAGTTTCTTTCTGGTGGTCGTCGACGACTACTCTCGCTACAGCACCGTTTTCCCTTTGGCGAAGAAGTCTGACGTGACTTCTACGCTGATCAGGTGGCTGCTCACCACAGAAGGTACTCGTCGCCGTCGTGTCAGTTGTCTTCACTCCGATCGAAGGGGTGAGTTTCGCTCCGGCGTTCTCGCTGGATTCTGTCGCGAGCAGGGCATCGCCCAGTCTTGAACCCTCCAAGAGTCTCCACAGCATAATGGGGTAGCTGAGCGCCGCATAGGCTAGGTCATGGAGATGGCACGCACCTCCATGATCCACGCCCGTGCGCCCCATTTTCAGTGGCCCTACGCGGTTCGGTATGCCGCTCAGCAGCTGAACCTCTGGCCACGTGTCTCTCGGCCAGAGGTTTCACCGACCAGTCTTTGGACCGGGTCCCCTGGTGTTGCGTCGCGTTTTCGTGTCTGGGGCTGCTTGGCGCTTGTTCGCGACACCTCCGCGGACAAGCTCTCCCCTCGCGCCCTTCCCTGTGTCTTCCTTGGTTTCCCAAAGGACTCCTCTGACTTCACCTTTTACCACCCTCCCTTTTACCGGTTTCTTGACTCCCGTGACGTCCGTTTTGACGGGTCAGTCCCTTACTACGCCCGGTACCCCTGACGAGGTCTCCTGGTCCCCCCTCCCCCTCTTCCTGACTCCCACTCCCCCTCTTCCTCCTCAGATACAGCCTCCCCCCCCTGGTCCAGCCCCGTCAGGTGTGTCACATGCTACCCCCCCCCCCCCCCCTTCGGTAGCCCCTCGGGTCTCGTCCCCTTTCCCAGAGTCCTCCTCACAGTCACCGCAGCAGCCGTCCACACTTCCTCCACAGCCTGTTGCAGGCCCTGAGAGTGTTGGTCTCCGTGATGCGGACCCTAGAGGCGCTAGCTCTGGAGGTGTTGGAGTTGGAGCTGAGAGTGTGCCTGCACGCAGTCCTAGTTCTTAGGGTGCTGAGGTTGGAGCTGAGCCCATGACAGCATGAAGTACTGGTCTTCCGGACGCTGGTGCTATGACTGGGGGTGCGGGCGCGCCCTCTCCTGGACCTGGAGAGCCTGGGGCTGGCCGCGTTACTCCTGGGGGTGCTGGCTCTTGTGGTGTGCCTGGTACTTTGGAGGGCAGTCCTGGGGCTACTACTGCCCCAGACATCACTCCTCCTCCCCACCCCTACCCTACCCGGCACCAGGCCCTTCTTCGACGTGCGCGTAAGGAGCAGCTGGAGTTGGAGCGAGAGGAGCGGTTGGCGTTGGAGGAACAGCAACGGGAGCTACAGCAGCAGGAGCAGCAACACCTGGACCAGCAGCAGCAGCCGCAGCAGCTGCAGCAGCAGCAGCAGCAGCAGCAGCAGCAGCAGCAGCTACCGCCTCTGCCTCCTGTCTCTGGCCTTCGGGGCCTCGGTCTCCCCTCTCCCTTCCTCCCTCCTCCCCCTCTCCTCCTGTCTACGGTCCCACGTTTCCTCCTCCTGACCCCACCCCAGTTGTTTTCCCCCATTCTCAGCCTACGTTGTCCCCTCCCCTTTCTCACACTTGGGCTTCTCGCTCTCCTCGTGCTCGTCCCTCGTCCCCTATTCCCGTCACTGACCTTCGTACTGTCCTGTTTCGTCCTAGCTCCCCTCGTCCGTCTCCGTCTGTGCTTCCTTCTGCTCCTGGGTCGGCCCTCACTTCTTCCCTCTCTACTCTTGTCACTTACTACTACCGCACGTATCAACTTGTTCTCTCTCGTGTTCTCGCCTCTCTTGTTACTCACCCTCGTGCCTCTCTGTCCTCTGTCTCCGCCCTTACTAACGTTTTCATTAAGTTCGCCACTACTCACCGCCTTGACTACGCCACTCATCTTTTCGCTGCTCCTCCTACCCATCCTCTCGCCGTCGGGGGCGAGGCTGCCCTTGGCTGTGACGCCCTAGAGGACAGGCAGTTTGAGCTGGAATTCCTAGCTGTCGCTTCCCCTCATCTCTGTGCCATGCTGCTCGCCCCTGAGGGAGACCCCGACGCCCTTGACATACCGACTCCTCGCACTTACGCTGAGGTAGTGTCAGGGCCTTGGGCCTCTCAGTGGAGAGCTGCCATGGACGCAGAGATGGCCTCCTACAGATCCACAGGCACCTACGTCGACGAGGTTCTCCCCCCCCCGCGGATGGGGAACGTAGTCGATGGCATGTGGTTCTTCAGGGTGAAGCGACCACCAGTATCTCCTCCGGTCTTCAAGGCGCGCTACGTGGCTAGAGGTTTCAGTCAGTGCGAGGGAGTTGACTTCTTTCAGACCTTCGCGCCTACCCCGAAGATGACCACTCTTCGAGTGTTACTTCACGTAGCAGCACAGAGAGACTATGAGTTACACTCTCTCGACTTCTCCACTGCCTTCCTTCAGGGTAGCCTACACGAGGAGGTCTGGTTGCGTCGTCCCTCTGCCTTCACTGGCACTTTCCCTCCTGGGACCCAGTGGAGGCTCAGGCGACCGATCTATGGTCTCCGTCAGATGCCTC